TCCGTGTCTGTGTGCTCAAGGTTCTAGCATAGCAGAGTATCTGGACTTCAGCCGGATAGCTGTAAAAGAGACTCTTGTGTGCTTGTGTGCCTGTACGCCTTGCGAGGGTTCACACGCCCAAGTTACATCTCAGGGGGTGGGGTGGGGGAGGGAGGGGGGGGTGTGGGTGGGGGGGGGGATGGGGGGCTCAGAATGGGGAAAGAACCCACGCAGCGCTGCATCTGCGAGACGATTTTGGTTCAAGGTAGCCCCAACTCCAGGTAGCAATGCCTTTTAGGCGGGTTCTGCCTTTAAGGCTGGTTGGTTTCGGATCGATGGAGGAGGAAATGCAAGATCCTATCGACCTTATGGTCTCTAAGCTTGTGGCTAAAAAGGCAAATCCGATGTTTGCTTTGGTCCTCGCGAGGATGTGGTGGCGAGCATATTGTGACCAGCAGAAGCCCCTTAGCTGATCTTGTGTGCAGAGAAAAGAAGACAAGGAGAGAGAGAGAGAGAGAGAGAGAGAGATAGAGAGAGAGCGAGAGCTAGAGACAGAGAGTGCGAGACAGAACATACGAGGTAGGGAGAGACACGCAAAGATAGAGGGAGAGAGAGAGAGAGAGAGAGAGAGAGACGGAGAGAGGTGGTTTGGTATCGACAGTTCCGGCTCTGAGGCTCACCGGTTTGGGGCAAAAAGGCAAACAAAAAAGAAGTAGAGGGAGGGAGAGATACAGGGAGGGAGGGGGCCGAATGATGGATTACCAAGGGAACATCATTTGGTGGATTACCTGGAGTGCAGGATGTACCGCATCGAGATCGCTTTGCCGGAGCTGAACGAGAATGCCGCAAAGAGCAAAAACCGGGAACTCTTTTGGCTGAAGAAGATCATCAAGAACAGATGATAGCTAGGCTGCCTGTGACTAATTAATTTATTTGCTTGGTCAGTGACACGCTTGCTTGCGGGGTTGGCGTGTTAAAACAACAACTGTGCGGTGCTTTGATTTTGCTGGTAAGGGTTGAGTCTAGCAGTCATCTGCTGTTTGCTGAGTGGTGTGCAGCAATAGATTTGACGATGTGGCCCCGCCTTCGCTTCTGCGGCTCTGAAAAGTTCAGAAGAACAGCTTTGTCTTAGTGTTTCACTGGCCCGTCCAGGGACGGAGGCCACTGGGGTCAATGGAAGGAGAAGAAGAGCGCAACGGTGAAGCCGCTGAATGCGCGAAATCCGAAGGCTCTGACTCTGGGGATGACGCCCCACCGCCGCCGCCGCTTTCAGAAGCTCCAACAACGATTGGACGTGACTCCAAGTTGAACTTGCGCATAAGTTTCACCTTGGCGAAGGCTTGCAAGTGCAGTCTCTGCGGGTCCTTAAGCACAGACAAGAACCCGTTGGTCAATCCAACCGAGGATGCCATGTTAGAGATGCCTAACCGGCCTTGGGCCAAGTACAGAAAAGTCTACCCTGCCAACGAAGCGCCTGCACGTGTCCCTGAAGGTCGTTGCTGTCTGCCTTGTCTCAACGTTTTTCGCCTTTTAGGCTGGGTGTTTCCTTCAACCTTTCCATGTCAATCCTTTTTGCCAGTTGTCATTCTGTGAAAACGGTGACACCGGCATGTGTAGGTTGAGGTTAGAAATGTAGCAGTTTAGATCTTTATATTCATTAGGCTTATATTCATTACTTTTTTGTTTTCTGTGAAGGTCTTGACGCAGTCCATGGGACTTACGCGGCCTACTACAAGTGGGTGTCCGACAGGTCCAGACAGCAAGAGCACAAGAGCTTCCTCATCTCGGTGAGAGACTGGATTCGCCAACACAACGAAAATCCAGACAAAGTCAAGTTGCGGAGCAAAGACGAGTTAATGGAGGCGAAAAAAAGCCTGACCGTAAAGAAGGACACAGGAGGCCGTTTCGAATTGCCCAAGAAGCAATTTGTGTGCTCGAGCGCGTGGGATGAGAATATCCATGGAAAATGGGACCCCTCGAAAGAAGTGGAGCAGGAGATCCGCGGTCGCTTGGCTTGCAGGGTAGTGTTTTTGGTTGGGTAAGTGATTAATTAAGTCTAAGTATATTATCATAAAAAGAAACCTGCGGGTTCTTCGCAAAAACATCAACAGGACATCGTACACAACTTGTAAGTAATGCAAATTAATGCCGTGTACATGCAATAGACTCAATAGACACACTCATAAAAGATATAACTGCCTTTGGACTGTTAGCCTTCTAGCTTAGCTACTTATGTAAAAAAGGTGGCTGACTATCTATTCATTATTCATTATACTATTATACAGCCACCAGATGCCAGGACAGAAGTTCAAGGGAGTGTGGCGTACCGTCGGCAAGGAGGGCGTGTTCGACTTCACTGAGTACGAGGATGTCGGGCTCTCTGAGCAGGTCGAAGAGCACAGCTTTGACCACGAAGCCTTCGGCGAGAAGGCTTTTGAACGCAAGAAAGAGGCGCTGCATACTGCTATGCAGGCACAGTCGCGAGCCAGAGATGCTTCCGCTGTCAAGGGATCCGAGGCAACCATTGAGAGCATGATGGCTTTGGTGCAGCAAATCAGCTCGTCCTCTGGTTCTTCTTTTCAGGACAAGCCTTCGGCAACGCCAGCTTCGCCAGTGAAAGTCGACGACACCATCGACAGCAGCAGCGACTCCAGCACAGAAGATGCAGGGCCAGGGCCTTCGGCCGGGTTGTCGATGCTCGCCCCAATAGCCAAGAAGGCGGCAAAAGCAGCAGCAAGTGCCAACAAAAGCAGTGCCAACAAAAGCGGTGCCAACAAGTCTGCGCCAGCGACTGCTACGGTGCCTTCCAAAGCCAAGGAGGTGAAGTCAAAGGCGCCTGCAAGCGGAAAGACACCGACACTGCCGTCCTCAAAGGCTGCGGAGTCCAGGGATTCCAAAGGAAAAATCAAACCGGGTGTNNTGTGGCGTCGGCTCCTTCAAGCGCTCCTGAGAAAAACGCTGCCACCGGCATGCTTGTGCTCGATGGGCGCGCAAACCGCACGCTGAGCCTTGACAGCAAATAATTTTGGACTTTGGCACGGGAAGCTTTATCGGCTTTATCTGCATCTACCAGGGCTTGGGCGGTTTGGGGCTTAAATTAGGCCTATGGTTCAGGGGCTTAGGATTTTAGGGTTTAGGGGTTTAGGGATTAGGGGTTTCGGTTTAGGGATCATGCCAACCTTTTAAGGTATTTGAACTGTTTTGGTCTTTTCCACAGCTGTAACATCTTGACACGCTTTGGATTCAATCCTGATTGGTTCGTATTGGGTAGTTCTGGTTTGGTTTAGTTGTGGCGCCCAGCAGCAGCAGCCGACAATGTAGCTTATAACCTATAACTTTTATAGCTAAATCTGCGACATCTGCTTGCCCCATCAGGAGTCGCCTCAACGAGGCCGAAACGAATCTTGTCAAGAAGCTGAATGCGATCCAGTACAATGACGAGCCTGTGTCGCAGAACCAAGCTTCAAAAGAGTATCGCACGCATTGTCTCAAGCGCGTCGCCGAGCTCAACCAGATCGCCAAGCAAGCCAAGGAGCATGTGAAAAAGCTGGACAAAAGCCCAAACAAAGATGCTTTTCAAGACCAGCTTTTGAGTCTTACAGAAATCTCCGATGCTGCCACAGCGATCAGCGAGCTGTTGGGCATGATGCCGTTGCCAACCCCTGATCCCGAGGTGTTCCTTGCCACTCTAGACAAGTGCAGAGCCTTCTCGGCACGTTTCGGTTTGGGCCTTGGGCCGGGTTTCGCAATGAAGTGCTTGCTGGCAAAGGTCAACGAAGCATGCCTGCATTGCAACTACGAGCGACTTTGCGAGATCCTCTGCCAGGACGGCAAAGATGCCCAGGACATTGTCAGCTCATCTGTGACCATGGATCAGCTACGCCTTGCCGTGTCTGCTGAGATCGAGAATCGGCTTCTCTCATCCATGCGAAATATTGACATGGAAGACTTGAAGCTGAAGGCCTCTGGCCATGTTGCAGAGCCTGAGTCTGAGACCCCGACTTTGCATGAGGCAAGCCAGCTGGCATCTTGCATAGCGCGTGCATCTGACTCTGACGGGTTCCTTGCAAGCAGCATTGCAAACTCTGCGTCCGTAGCCTTCTCCTTTCTGGACATGAAGGACATGGCAGGTTTGCGAGACAACGTCGAGAGGATGCAGAAAGCCGGTTCTGAGCAGCTGAACACCCTGGACGGCATGAGCCGTTTTTTCATCCAGCATGAAATCGGCAAAGCTCTGGTAGCCCTCGCCACAGAGAGAGTGGAGAATGGGCGGGCAGAGGCCGACTACCAGGAGTTGCTGAAGGGATTGCGTTCGCCGTTGGACGGGCTGCATCAGGCAGCCCAGCAGATCGCAAAGTCACCGGCTGCAAAAAGCAAAGGAGTTGCACATATCGTTCAAGACTTGAGTCCGGTGGTGGAATCCTTGCAGGAGTTGGAGGCTTGCGCTTTCCTAAAGCGCAAGGCCGCCCAGAAGGCTGACAGCGAGACCGGTTTGAGTGCCGTTGAGACGGTGCAATCCTGCTCTGATCGCCTGTCGAAGGCGGCGGTGACCATGGTGCAGCACGAGCTCAGCATGAACGTCTCCGAGCACCTGCGCCTTGGTTGTCTTCCAGTAGCTGCATTTGAGTGTATTTGTATGTATGTATGTATGTATGTAAGTAAGTCAGTAAGTAAGTAAGTAAGTAAGTAAGTAAGTAAGTAAGTAAGTATGTATGTATGTATGTATGCATGTGTGTATGTATGTCTGTATGTATATATGTATGTATGTATGTATGCATGTATGTATGTATGTATGTATGTATAAATACATATGTGTATATATATATATGTGCTCTCTCCAGCTTGCCTGGCGAGCACCTTATTTTTGAAGTGGTCTTTCATGTGCACTTTTGTGCACGTTCAGAAAACC